GGAGGGTCCAGGACGAGCAACGTCTCCAGAAGGTAACGAGGAGAGACGGACATGGACGTTTTCGGGGACGACCCGGGTTTCGAGCACGGCGGCACAGAGATGGAAGCGGAGGTGACCGTCGTCAACGAGAGCAGGGAGGAAGAACCGGAAGACTTCAGATGGCGGCCCGCCACGGGAAGCGAACTGTATCCGACATTCGTCCCCCTGACACGGCAGCACCCAGATCCCGCACCGGAAGGAGGGGAGGGGGGAAGAGGGGGCTTCGAGGGGGGGATGGATGTCAGGGGTTCAGGAGCAGAGGCAAGGGCAAGGGAGGAAACAGAGAGCGAGGGGAGGAGGCAGAAGAAAAGATGAGTGATGACGACGACCCGAGATCTCCGAGTCTTTCCAGTGAATCAGAAGATTCACAGAAAGGAGCACCAGTGGCCAGGGCAAGGGGAGCCTAGGGGACGCCCCAGGAAGATAGAGCCAGAGGGGACTCAGAGGGAGCAGTTGGAAATCGGGACCAGCGTCACCGCCAGAGAGCAGGGAAGAGGAAGGAGCCAGGGATCAAGCGCTGGCAGCTCACAGCAGGGGAGGGCATGAGTCAGGAGTGGCCACACCTCCATCGGGGAGCGAAGAAACGGTCAGACGGAAGGTGGAAGGTTGGGCGCGCGCGCAAGTTCAAATGCACAGGAAGGTGGCACAGTAGGCAGCCCGGAAAGGAGCCTGGGCCTACAGCCCGCCGAACGGAGGGAGATGATTCAGGGGGGTCAGCGTCATCGGAATCCCGGAAAGAAGCGACCCCAGGGGGGCGGAGGGACCCAGAGAAGACCAGTCAGGCGGAAAAGGTGGAGCAGGGCTAGGATATTAAGTTGGTGTACATGAGACGTAGAGTTGCACGCAGCAGTTTGAGAATGGAAACTGTAACTCAATAAAGACTTTTGTTTAATGATCGCTGGCTAGCGTGATCCTCTGTGAGCTAGGATCTGGAAGCAGCTCTGACAGTGGTTAATAGAACGTAATTGTTCTACTGATGATTTGTAAATTATTCTATACGATTTATGTTGTATTGGTGATGTTCTATTAGGTTTTTGCTGTTCATGAGCCGCTTTGTGATTTTTGTGAATGAAAAGCAGCACAGTAATATAGTATAATAAATTAAATTAAATCCTCCTTGCCCCAGCTTGCTTTCTGCATATCAGAACCCTCCTGCTCCTACGGTGGTGGCCAAGGGACCCCTTCTGCCTCTGGGTCGTTTTCTGCTCTGTGATGTGGGTGAAACGCCTGGTTTTAGAGGAAGGAGGAAGATCTAGCAGGCTCCCAAGGGACCTGGTCTCAACTGGCTCTGATCTTGTCTCCATTGCATCTGACTCCTGTCTCTCTTCAGGGCTGGTGAATCTGCTACCTTGCCCTTGCTCCTCACCTTCCAACATTTCCCAGTTCTTTTCTTCTTCTGGGCTGTGTCCTTTTCCCACCACCACGAACTTGGCTCCATGCTGTCTTCCTCTGCCCCCTCCCTTGAGGGTCTCCACCTCTTCTTCTCATCTGAAAAGTTCCTGACACCACCAGCTGTTTTGGAATAAAACTCCCATTGGCCCCACCAGCACAACTTTGGTTAGATATTAATCATTTCAGATTACTAAATATCTGCTCCCTTCCTGAAAGCAAAACAATTACTCTTTTCTTTCCTCACCAGCTCAGTTATGGCTTCACAGCCCAGGTTCTTGAAGATAAAACACAGTTCCCTTTCCTCTACCAGATGCTCCCCAAAGAGGAAAGTCAGTTCCAGGGGATCGTCGAGTTACTCCTCCATTTCGGATGGACGTGGGTTGGCCTCTTGGCTTCAGACAATGACAGTGGAGAAAGGTTTGAGAGCATTATGACACCTCTGATGAACAGAAGAGGGATCTGCGTTGCCTTGTCAGAAATATTAACAGAAGATGATGTATATCAACAGAGGAACCCGAGTGAAGCTTTTTTCAACTGGAGACAAGTCAGGGTATTTGTTTGCTATGTAACTGATACAGTGGGAATGCTAATAATATTACAGCTATCTATGTATTATGGGATGGAAATAGGGGCCAAAGTCTGGATCACAACAGCTTTCCAGGACATCAGCGCTAGCTTGGCTTTCCCTCCTCTGTACATCCAGTACATTCATGGTTCTCTCTCTTTTGCAATTAAGACCAGAATAAGGAGCACCAAACATGGTTATGATGAATCACTGTCCAATCACCTCGTCTATTTTTTGTGGGAAGCATTTAACTGTTCATATTCCAAGCATGTTTTATCCCCGAAAGGCCGGATAAGATGCAGAGAGAAGGAGGAACAGGAGTCTTTGCCCCAAGGGGAGATTGAGAGAGTCCTGTCTGCAGACAGCTATGGCACTTACATCAATGTTCAAGCGGCAGCCCAGGCCTTAAATGCTGCGTTTTCATCTAGACCACGGCGGATGCTGATGGTGGGAGAAGGAGCCCAATGGGAACAGGGAAGGCTTCAGCCATGGCAGGTATTTCCTTCCTCCTTCTGCAAACTGCAATCCATTGTCCTAACTGTGGAATAAAAGTAGGAGTGAGACAAAAGTTTCTCAATCCACACAATGAATCCAGCTCTTTGTTGC